CCGGCACTTTGAGCTCATGTAAGCAGAAAGAGGGATTGGCTACAAGGACACTGGGTCCCACAGGACCTCAGGGAGAGGTGGGGAGGACCAGGTGGGGAGGCTCTGCAGACAAATGACACCCAGATCATGCCACAGAGCTGGTCAGGGGGACCCGCCTGCTGCGTGGCTGAGCCTGGGCTGTGCCGTTTGCTGCGTGCAGCCTGCTGGGGCAGGACCCCGGCCTCCTGTTAGACCCACGCCTGGGGTTGCCAGACAAGCTACGGGAGGCCCAGGTCAACTTGAATTGCAGATAAGCAATAAGTTTTAAGTGCATGTCTCATATGGCATTTTCTTGTAATAATTAATCTATTTTGCCAAACCTGCCATCCCTACCCGCTGCCCCTGAAGCCCCCGCGGCTGCCCTGAGAGAAGTCTCTGGGCCCCACCTCCTTGCACCAGGGCCTCCCAGTTCAAAGTCACGAGGGCACAGCCCACGGCGCACCTGAGCAGTGAGGGAGTCTGGGAAAGCGAGTGTCAGATCCTCGAGGTTTCTACAGCGGGAGGGGCTCTGCCTCGTGGGATTGCGGGGCCACCAGGCCATTGCCAGCATCTGGTTTTAGGCTCTTGCTCTCCCACGATCGGGTCCGGCAGGGTGAAGAACCAGACTCACCCCAATCTGATGTTTACGAGACAAGAGCATCTCTGCTCTCAACCTGTTTTCCCTGCCAGGGAGTTTCGTATGTCTGTGTGGAGACCATTCTCCACTGAAAGGGACCAGGGATCCTGGGAGACACGGTTGATTCCAGGGCTGGGCAAGGACAGTACAAGATGAGCCGGGAACATCTTGTCGTGCCAGAAAGTCAGGAAGTCCTCAAAATGACGGGGCCACGTTGGAAGGACTGAGGAGCCAGCTGGACGGAGCTCCCTCTCTTGAAATCTGGGACAACGTGAGCATCCAAATAAAATCAAGAGTGAAGCGTTGTAACCAGCACATACAATACGAATTAATGAGTCCATACCTACACATGTGCGTATATATGTGTACATTATATATCAGTGATATAACATGTATACACACATATTGGTACACACGTATATGCACGTGTGTGAATTAATAAACAAATGGGGGAGAAGGGAAACTGTTTCCTTACAGCACAATGCCAGTTACTAAACACGGAAGGGATGGTGGAAGCAGAAAGTCACCAAAAGGCGACCATCAAAAAATACTTGTTTCAGACAAGGGTTATCAGTAGAGGCAAAAACCAGTTGGCGATGGTTTTATGGGGAACAGGATATTTACATAGTCTCAACACATCTCCGCATAAGTATTTGTTTTAAAATTTAGGAACTTCGCAATGGGGAGAGCTGGCAGGCGCCTTAACCGAGCGGTCAGAATGGACAGCTACGAGAACAGGACGGACAGACGCGGCCCCGATACGATGCCCTACGGCATCCTTTCCGTGGTCTCTCTGCCAAAAACCTATGACCTGCATCTAACAACAAGGAAATGCTGGGCAAACTCCATCTGAGGGACATTCTACAAAACATTTGGCCAGTAATCTTACAAAAAAAAAAAATCAGCATCACAAAGGCGAAGACAAACGGAAGAGCGTTTCCAAACTGAAGGACACTAACGAGACATGAAACCTGGGTGCGGCTCGTGACTGAGATTCTGTTTTGCCATAAAGGAAATTGGATAACTGGTGGCGTCCGAGTGGGGCTGTAGATTAGCTAACCTGCTGCGGCCACGCCAACTTCCTGACTCCGAATTGCACCAGGTCCCTGCGAGAGGGTGTCTTGTGCAAAGAGAAAGGCCTTGTTCTTAGGAAACATAGACTATTTAGAGATAAAAGGAGTCTCGTGTCTACAACTTCCTCTTAAATAATTTAGAAAAGATAAGAGATCAGGACAGAAAATGATAAAGTAAATCTGGTAAAATGTTGATATCTGAAGAGTCTGAAGGAAGGGGGTCAGGGATGCTTTGTACTATTTCTTGCAACTTTTCTGCAAGCCTGAAATTATGTCAAAATAAAAAGTTAAAGGCCGGGCGCGGTGGCTCATGCCTGTAATCCTAGCACTCTGGGAGGCCGAGGCGGGCGGATTGTTTGAGCTCAGGAGTTCGAGACCAGCCTGAGCAAGAGCGAGACCCCGTCTCTACTAAAAATAGAAAGAAATTAATCAGACAACCAAAAATATATAGAAAAAATTAGCCGGGCATGGTGGCGCATGCCTGTAGTCCCAGCTACTCGGGAGGCTGAGGCAGGAGGATCGCTTGAGCCCAGGAGTTTGAGGTTGCTGTGAGCTAGGATGACGCCATGGCACTCTAGCCCGGGCAACACAGTGAGACTCTGTCTCAAAAAAAAGAAAGAAAAAAAGTTAAAAAAACAAACAAAAAAAATCTGCTTAGAAACTCAAAGGCTACACTCGAGGCTTTTGTCCCTGCTGTTCCGCGGTGGCCTCCCTTCCCTAAGGGAGGAGCCGGCAGAGCAGTGGCCGAAGCGAGGGCCGCAGGGCAGCTTCAGAGGAGGAACATCACGGGAATGCCAAGCGTTGGCTAGAAAACGATAGGAGTATCAATAACGAGCTGTGTATAGCAGGACAGATGCCACATGCAGAGGATGCCACAGGCGGAGCGGGAAGTGGGAAGGAACTGGCCACTGGCTTCCCCGGCGCTTGGACCGCCCCCCTTCCCCTGTGGCCGGGCTTCTGCTGCAGGCGGCCGAACACATTCCTAACCGGGACCTGGACACACATAACTGAGCTGGCATCTGAGAACCTGCAAGTCCTTGGGAGAGACATGCGCTTATTAAATGAAACAGCATATGCTAGACACCCACCAGGTACCTGGCATGCGGTGGGCACCTGGCACAGGTGAATTCCTGTGCCATCTTCCTGTATCAGGCCACGGGGAGGCGCTGGGCCCGGGCTGGTGACGGTGGGTGGAGAGGGAGCATTCTTCAGACCATGGCCACGGCTGGTGTCAGAAGGTGAAAGCAGGTCAGCTGGGAGCCCGTTGCCGCTCAGCGTGGTGGCAGCCAGGGCCCTCGGGGAGGACTGTGCCCATCTTGGAGCCGGGCCAGGGGCTGACCAAGGGAACTGGCTCGAGGGCCTGTCTCCCTGGTTCTTGGTTCTTGGACGAAGGCCCCACCATTGACTCGGCCAGGATGAAAGGGTAAAAGGAATGTCGGAGGTTTTCAAAACCCGTGCCTGCCTTCGGCACCAAATTTATTTTTTTTTAAAGGGTCTGAAAGATTTTTTAAGCCCCTGTGGCAGTGTCAGACAGGTTTTGGTTTGGCATGAAAAACCTGAAGGAAGGTGGCTATACAAAACAGACAAAAACCCAACCCAGTACAACCGAACAGTTTGAGGACCACCTACGTAACCGCAGAGGTTGTATTTTTTCTTTTACAGAACAAAGCGGCCATGGTTGGAGGATTCGGGATGCCGCAGCTCCACGTCACCCCTTTCCTGGGTGCCCAGGGTGCTAGGTGGGGCAGAGGAGGGGACGGGAGGGTGTATGCTGGGAGTCAGAATCGGGAAGGGGCCTTAAAGTCGACCTAGTCCAAGGTTCTTCCAGTTTCTGCCCATATTCTTCCAGGGACGGAGAACTCACTCTCCACGGGCCATTTCATCTGTGGACGGTTCTGCCCGTTGGAACATTCTTTACTGTATTATTACGTGGTAGAAATCTGTCTCCCTGTGACACGCACCTGTTGGAATTAGTTTTTATTGCAAAACAACGAGAGCAGCCACGCGTGGCAGCTGTTGTGGGCCTACCCCTTTACAGATGGGTGACGCTCAGAGAGGTTCAGTAACTTGCCACGTGTCACACAGCCGGGAAACACAGAGCTGAGATTCAAACTCAGTTACGCCTGAGCCCCAGCTCTTAACAAGTACATCGTGCTGCGTCTTATGAGGGCAAATGTTTACATTTATAAAGACGGCACTTGCAGTCTTTCTCCCATCAAAGCATTCTGGTCTTTCAACCACTGCTTGTGATAGACCTAGGAATGGGCAGGCGGCCCATGTGGGATGAAGGGGACAGAAAAGCCGCCCGCGGGATGACGCTGGGGAAGATTTCTGTCCTGATAAGGGGAGAACACTGTGGGGAGATGGCCCCCTCCGCTCCCTTCCTTTCCTCCTGTCTCAGACTCAGTTGGGTGGGGACAGCCTTCGGCGTGGGGGTGTCCCGTGACCAAGGCAGACAGGATGAGAAGCTTGTAGCCACGCTGGCCGGGTGTCCTGGTGTCACCAGGCTGCTGCTCCTAGAGCCCTCTCCCCTGACTTCTCAGGTGAGATGTCTGAGTGTCTTTGGAGCGACGGTTCTCAAACTGGCGCGTGCACCAGACTCCCCCGGAGGACTTGCCGCACAGGGTGCTGGGCCCCACCCCAGGGGCTCTGATCCAGTGGGCCTGGGGCACAGCCCGGGAATCTGCATTTCTAACAAGTCCCCGCCGAGGCTGAGGCTGCTGGCACGGGGCTGCGCTCAGAGCCACTGCTCCGGCGCTGAGGGGACCAGCTGGGACAGTTTCTGCTGTCTGCAGCCAAGGCACCCAGGCCAGGAGCCCTGTGCCGTGAAGGATAGCGCCTTGGGCTTCTAGTGCAAAAATTGTCTTCCACGAAACTGGTCCCTGGCGTCAAAAACGTTGGGGGCCGCTGGGTTAAGCCACACCCGGTCTGTGGAATTTGATTAGGGCAGCCTGGGCAGACTCAGAGTGACAGAATGAATTTGAGCCATCAGCACTCAGAGTATGACCTGGGGACAGGCAAGGACCTTGTGAGAAAAGCAGAGTCCTGGGCCCCACCCCAGCCTGGCGGGAGCAGAATGTGCGTGTTGGCAAACTCCCCGCGCCCATGACCCGCACACTTTGACATCTCTTCCCGCCGATGGGGTGGCGTCTCTGTGAGCCCGGCACTGCGGCGCCGTAGGCAGCGTCTCCGTGCACAGGTGACATCCCAGTAGAAAAGGCACACACGAAATAGCTGAGAGCCCGAGAGACAGTGTCAAGTGTTTTATTTCACAAATCGTTCAGAATTGTCCATAAAAGATACGTTACAGAGACATTTTAGAAATCAAACCAGTTTTATTGAAACGATTGCAACAGTGTGGCCCCTGCTCGAGCTAAGCACAAAAAACATTCACAATAAACGCCTGTACACAGGAAGTAGCAAAATACATCATTTTTCATAGAAAAAAGCACACACGTAAACTGCGGGCCGAGTGAGCCTACAGCACACGCTTCAGAACACGACAGGGCAAAACGCCGAAAGAAGCCAAAACTTCGCGTTGTGGGGGCGTGAGACCCAGGGAGGCTGGCGGCTTGGTGATGGGTCATCTCTCCAAACCGGGGTTAGACGCCCACGGTGCGAGGGGCCGTCACACACAGGACACGAGAGGCGGTCCCTGATGGCAAGGGATATTTTGTATCCAAGGGATATTCTGTAACCCTTGTAATCTGTACTCTTGTTTTCATTTTCTAAAGAAAAATGGTTCCAGTTTCAAAATGTTCCCCGGATGAAAAAGACAGCCAGGTCCTGCCCCGGGCGAGGTCTTTCTAGCCTGTTCCGAGGGCCTGGTGAGGGAGGCACCGGGGAACCTGGGAATTTTATTTTCAAATGACGGGATTGACTCGCATCGGAAGGACTGCTTTTCCTGCGGGTGGGGTGCTTCCTAAGCAAGCCCACTGGGGCGCCCTGGGCTGCTCCCGGACCCTGAATCCCCACGAGGGCGGTGCACCTTGCAGTCTTGACCGAGACACAGCCGAGGAGGTCCGGCGGCGCGGCGCGTCGCGCCCGGGAGCTTCCGGACGTCTGGTGCTAACGAGACACCCACTGACGGGCTGACTACATCCTGCCCTTCTGACGCTGGGGGCCGAGTGGTCGGATCAGTGAGTTACTACGAGCAGTGCACAAAGCAGAGAGATAGTCCTGCTAATTTTAGCTCAGCCAGGCGAAGGGTTTAATTACTTTTTACAGACTCCCTAAAGGGGTTTTAAGAAAAAGCTATTTATCGCCAGATTCCGCATTAATGAAGGAGGCAATCAAAGAAAGAAGGTGCCTCCTAGGTACCAGGTACGGTCCTTTTCCAGCCTACGGCCTCTTAGTTTTTTGCTTTCTGCTAGTTCTTTAGCCTAAGAAATATTTTGATGGAGAACGAAATCAAGTTGGAAACCAGTGTTCACAAAAGTGATCTGTTGGCGAGTCTGGTGGTGGAGGGTGGAACCCTCACCCTCCGCAAAGAAATGCTATTTACAACAGGGTATTTCATTTCACTGCGGGCTTTCGGTCTGGGCTTAGGGGGAACTCTTACGGCGTGATGGAAGCCAGAGCGCGCTGCGCCGCTCGGAGCCCGGCGAGCGTCTGGCGAGCTGTTCCACACAAACAGGAAAAGAAACCCTTCCAGTGCATTGCCGCCCCTCGCTGCTACCACGCCGCGGGACGGTTTCGTAACCACAAACGGAGCCGCTAACCTCCGGGAGGAATGTGCCGAGGAATCCGCTCCTCCCACTGCTGAAAAATAGGTCAGCCGACACATGGGGAATCTGCACATTTAATTGTCGTTTTTAAAAAGCAGCAACACGGCAGCCCTTCTCTGGCTGTTCTCCGACACGTCGGCGGAAACTTAGGAGACTAGGCGCTAAGAGAAAGTGGGCTTCGAACTGAATCGCTTGCAAAGCAAAGTCCCGGGTGTGAACCAGGACGCATGATCTACTCTGGGGTGGGGCGGGAGCCAAGACGGGTAGGGAGTAAAGAGAGGATCCGATTCATCAGTCCTCGATGGGACCAAGGGTCACGCAGGGAACAGTTGGGCCACGTGGACAAAGGGACAACAAGGACAAGATAAATCTCTGGAGTTTCTGCTGAACTCTAAATAAACCAGCACCGCTGTACATATGACCGACCCGCGTGCGGCCACTGAAATGGGACCTGCGGCAGGACACCAGCAAGGACACGCGCCAGGGCAGAGCCGGGGTCTCCTGTCTAGCCCATTTGTCTGACCAGCAAACATGAACCCCATTTTTCTCCATTGGTAGGGACGGACTGTGTGTTTTTTTTAAGATTTTTAAATACTCCATTCCTGAAACTCACCCTGCACTTGTTCAACATGCCTCCTCCCACGCCCCCACAGCCTGGGGAGGGGGTTGGAACCCTGTCCCTCCACCCACAAAGGAACACATGGCAAGGATCATCTCCGTGACTGTCCCCTTCAAGAGATGGGGTCAGATCCCTAAAGGAGAGAGGGCACCCAGAGGACGGCCCCCGCCTCGCCAGGACTGGACGCCAGGTGTCCGGCCAAGGTCCCGAGGATGCTGTTTCTCCACGGGGAGGGGATGAGCCGTCACCCTCACTCGCCCGAAGGCCACAAAGACATGGACGCTGAGTGCCATTCGAAGGAAGTTTCCTGACTTTCCATATATCCCTCCCCCCAATAAAAAAATAAAAATAAAAAGCAAAACCCCAAAGCACTGTTGAAGACACCCCTTCTGCCCTGGTGCGGCAGATTCACTGCCTGACAGCGAAGATCCGGAAGGCCTTTCCGTCCCGAGGACTCCCCAGGCTGAAAAAGAAGGGAGAGTGGGTGTTACCGAGAGATCTGGGGGGCCTCCTGCGGGGACCCTTGCTGGGAAGGGACGGCTGCCCCCCCTCCACGTCCCCGGTCCCCGCGGCTGCTGGGAGCTGCCCCGGCCAGAGCCCAGAACAGCTGGCAAATCCCGTGTTCTTTGCGAGTGAGCCTCAGTCTGATTCTAGGTCGGGACGGTTAAGTTATTTTCTTTTAACTCAGGGATTTACTGGCCCCAGTCTGTCTGACTTGGACTCACCCTCCAAGACTTCTGCCTGGTTTTTGCCACCACCTGTCAGCCCACATAGCGGCCATCTGGGTGACAGATTAATAGGAGGGTATTATGACGACAGCGTACGCGCCGCTGCCGTTCAAGCCGGCACCCGGACTGGGCTCGGATCCGGCGCCGAGCGCTGTGCCGGCTGCTGTTCATTGGCCTGTCGCCTTCCTCCCGAGGAAGGCGCTAGTATTACCTGTCACCTCTGCCCCACGGAGGAGGAGATGGGCACCCAGACACCCAGGGGCTCACTCTTGGTCACAGCTGGTAAAACCACTCTTACAGAGCAGGAGTTCAGTTCTCCGCCTCACCGAAAGACGAGCCAGACACGTTTAGCAGGAGGGTCTAGGGGACGAGACAGCCCCCCCCCGCCCCATCCCCGGTGTTCTGGAAGGCTATACACGTGCAACGGCAGGAACAGCCGCAGGAGCACGGAGGCGTCCCAATTTCAAAATTTACTATGAAGCTACGGTCACTGAGACAGCGGGACCGGCACAAGGAAGACACGTAGATCAAGAGAATGCGATTGAAAGTCCAGAAACAGACCCTCACGGTCACAGGCAGCTGATTTCTGACAAGAGTGCCGAGACCATTCCATGGGCGAAGGATAGTTTTCTCAGCCAACGGTGGTGGGACAACCGGGGATTTACGTGCAAAGCTACGGCGGTGGACCTGTGCCCGACACCGCGTATAAAAACTCACTCAGAATGGATCAAAGTTCTAAACGTTAAAGCTAAAAATTATAAAACTCTTTGAAGAAAACAAGTGTAAGTCTTCATGACCTTGAGCGAGGTGATGGTTTCTTAGATACAATGCCAAAAGCACAAGCTATAAATGCAAAAAATCAATACATTTATCAAAATTTAAAACATTTGTGCCTTAAAAGAGACCATTAAGAAAATGAAAAGACAGGCTATAGACTGGGGGGAAGTTTTGCGGATTGTGCGTTTGATAAAGGATTTCGCAGTGTGTGTGTGTGTGTGTGTGCGCGCGTATGCGTATATAAACTCTTTCGACTCAGTACGAAGACGAAGAACTCAGTTAAGAACTAGGAAAGGTATCTGAATAGACATCGCACCAGTGAAGATGTACCAGTGGCCAACAGGCACAGGAACACCGGGTCAGTGTCATGAGTCATTAGGACAATTGCAGTGGGATCCCACCGCTCACCCCTGGGGGGTGCCTAGAGTCGGGAGGGGTCCAGGGAGGGCACACAGAGGCCTGGAAGGTGGCAGGGAGGGCTGTCAAATTGAAGTTACGGGAGGCTGTGGTTTGCACTTAGCTTCCGCATCAGGCCCAACAGACCAGACCACACCAGGACGGAGCCACTCGTGCCAGGTGCCAGGAAATCACACTGAACCGAGAAACCAAGTGGTTTTTCAAAGAATGGGAGACTCACAGCAACCAATCAAAGGGGGCCCAGTCAGCCAGCGCCAGCCGCTAAGGACGTCCCCTCTGCTTTAACCCCGTAAGGAAAGTAACTCTGGGACCACCCACCCGACCCCGTTCCTTCTTTCTGCTGCCTTCTCTGCCCGCGGAGCCCACGCCCGCCCAGCGGACGGCCGCCGTTCTGCACTGGAGACAGGGTGCTGCCTGATTCGTGAACTGTTAATAAAAACCAGTTAGATCTTTGAAACTCAACTTGCTGAAATTTTGTTCTTTGATGGGGGAGCAGGGTGCCCTCTAGACCCCAAAGGAGGTGCTCTCTTTACGTCAGAACTGAATGGGAAAGGACAGGCAGAGCTGCGCTTTTCTGTTTCTGAATTGCGCGTTGTCCTAAAATTTAAATGTACGAAACACTCTCTCCCAGCCATCTCTCTGCACCGAGTTCTCCCTGACAGACACATCCTATGCACATGCAAACAATCACACATGTGCTCCCCCCCGCGTGTGCTGTGCAGATACTACATACACACTGCTGTATATACTACTCTGTACTTTGCTTTTTTAGTTTAGTAACGTATTTTAGAATTTGTTTCTTTTCTGTACATAAAGAATTCCTCATTCGTTTTGTTCAGCTGCACAGTCTGCTATCATATTAAAGTATTGCATATATGTAACCGGGTCCCTATCGGTGGATGTTTAGTTCTTTCCAATCCTCCACTTTTGCAAACAACGCCGCTACCGTCCACGGGGCTTTCTGCACACGTAGGAGGGCACCTGAAGACGAGCTCCTAGGAGAGGAGGTGTGGGAGCAAAGATACATGCATCTGTCATTTTGACAGCTGCCAGACTGCCCTCCCCGACCACGGGGACAGTGGCCCGTCTGACCCCACGCGTGCAGCGTGGCATGCTACCTAGCTTCGGTTCTCGACTGATCAAAGGTAGGGAATGGCATCCACACACCGTTTAAACTTGCATTTCACTTATCATGAATGAGTTTGAGCGTAAGATCAACAGCCTAGTCGTGATTTATAAGCAGATTCCGTTTACAGTCCTGACGAGAGAGACCCCGTCCTCCGAGGGCAGGCTGCTTAGAATTCCTGGTTGTTTTTCTGCCTTTCTCCGTGGCAGCTTCATGCTTTTGGCTACCCTGGAATTGAACTTCTGAGGTGTGTATCAGACAGGAGCGCTGGGAGAGCTGGGCCGTGGAGGGAAGCCAAGGCCAGACACAAGCAGAACAATCGGCCTCAGGAGCCTCAGACCGAGAGGAGAGAGACACTGCCCAGGCGGGGTGGCCCTGGCCGCCCCCCTGGTTTCTAGAGAGCTCAGATTCCAGGCCCCCCCAACCCCAAGGCTTTGGGGCTGCAAGAGTCCCCTGGGTTCTCTGCCCAAACGAACAGACCGAGAGAACCACCCACCGGAGCCCCAGGGGCCCGGCTATTCCGCATGGTGTGCAAGCCACGCTGGGGACATTACCAGGGGCTGTGTCCCTCTGACTTTCTGTGGGGCAGGAAATTCTGCAGATGGGGCAGTGTGTTCCCACGGTCACAGGGCCCCAAACAACCGAGGGACCGGGGCCATTGAGGCTGCCGTCCAGATGTGGGGGCCGCCAGCCCGAGGGGCCTGAACTGCCTGGCGCCCTCATTAAACAACCCGCCCACCTCGGAGGCAAGAGCCGGCCCCGCTGAGCGGGGTGAGGATTTCTTAACGCATCAGACAGCGCATGTCACCGCTACCGCCGTGGCATGGCTGCGCAACAGTCACCATCCAAGTTGGTCCCACCCGCTGCTGCAGGTGAGAAGCCCCCAGGTCCTGGCTGCTCGAAAAAGCCTGCAGGTGGGCTGGCCAGGCGCGGTGGCTCACGCCTGTAATCCTAGCTCTCTGGGAGGCCGAGGCGGGCGGATTGTTTGAGCTCAGGAGTTCGA